GATTTTAATTTACATAAAAGTGCTTTTTTATCTCAAAGGTTCCAAAAGTGTCTTACATCGAAGAGGTGATTTACAGTACTTTATCCAACACTGAAGTACAGCAATGTGGGTGATCCACGGCAGCCATTGTGTTCTTCACAGCAGATCAGAGAACTGAATACCTGCCTCTCCACCAGTTTGGTAAAGGATGACCTTTAGAGAGGCCAGGTTATTTGATTATTTGCTCATTTTAGGTAATTTCTTTACATGTGCAATTTCTCAGCTTTGGACTCAATACTTGTGTCTTAGTTGAGAAGCACTAATTTAGAACAGTCTTCTCTTGGGGTTAATCAAGGACATTCAGCACATCAAACAACAGAAAAAGTCCAAATCTGTCTGACATAGAACTGGAAGAATCTGATTCCTGAATGGCCAATCAATCAAATGTTTGTCTCAGAAATAATGTATAACAGGCCTGGGAGGAAAACATATTTACCTCAGGTCTTGAAGTTTATTTGTATTTTGCCCGTTTTCTCCAGGGGAAAATATTTTTAAATCTAAGACAAGAGCTCAGGAAAATATCCCTTGCTCTGGGCCCGGCTTTAGAAACTCATGGAGTATTTCTTTCTTCCTGTCACTTTATCTGTATGAAATTGCTCCTGGGCACGTTTTTTGTCAGGAATTTATTTGCTATTTTTCTGCTACCTGTTATCAATCTTGACACAAAGGGGTACAATTCTGATACCTTTGCTGAGGGTAAAAATCACCTGTTGAAAGTTATACAGCTTACCCTATTTAACACCCTAGGCACAGATTATTCCTGCTTTTTTCAATCTAAATCATGGTGCTCAACAATTCAAATATTTTTTACATATCCCTGCATTTAAAACAGATGTTCAAAAGGAGGCTTTAAGGTAAGATTAAGTCCAAAGCAAAGAAACATCAGATACTCTACCTATAGCAGAACACCAGCTTCATTGAAAAAGTAGAACATCCAGAGTCCATTTTGCCCTCCTAGTTATTCTCATCCACTTCTAGAAGACAGTATGACATAATATGGGGCAAAACTGTCGATGGGCTGATAATTCTACACTTTTTTACCTTGTGTAACTGTCTGGGTTTCCAGTCCAGTTCTGCATTTGATTTTCTCTTCTGCTTTGTAATGGATGACTGACGTTAAAGGAGGAGGTAGCCAGGGTGCTTACTGAACACAGGTACTGCTTGCTGGGCAGAGGTCAGTTAAATTAAGGGTCCGCTTAGAGTACATAAGGCTTGACTTGGAAGAATGTGAGTGTTTTGTTTGGAGTCCAAGGAGTTCTGGGGTAGATTCAGCAAATTTTCTGTATTTCTTCTTTTGTTTTCTTAATTTAATCATTGCTGGTTAGTAGATTAGCCACCCAGTAATTTTAACGTTTTTAATAAAAAAAATAGTTTTAATAAAAATAAGTTTTTTGAAAATCTCCTTGGAACTTTGGCAGAACTCAAAGACCTGTATTTCCACAGCTAGATGGCAAACTGGAGGAGCCCAGCAATGGCGACAACTCCCCCCAAAGTGTGACAACAATTAAAGACATTAACAACATTGCCAGCACAAGTGCCACAATGTTGATACATGTTTATACATGTTTGTGTAATTTTGAAATTTATTGAGGGAGTAAAACACAACGGTAATTGCAAAAAGTCAGATGTGTAATACAGTACAACAGCGACCACAATGAATCCTTGTGAATGAACATCTCATTATTTCAGTTAAAAAAGACATGTTAGGAGTACAAGGACAATGGAATAAAATAAACAGCAGTTTATAAAATCAGGGTTACTTGGAAATAAACACACGCTCATAACAATATAGGAGTCAGAAGCTGGAATTTCGAAATAATTCTGCCAATTAACAACTTCAGCAGAAGGTGTTAAAAAATGAAATGTGCAACACAACCATGGATAGACAAAGGCAAAACACCTGAGTGTGCAGGACTAAAAATACAAAATATTACAATAGTCACTTCAATTGCAATCTTTAGTGCCTGCAAACACATCATTAGTACACTGTTGTCTCCTGAAGATGACTGTGTGTATACAATATCTGAATATTCAGCCAGTATAAATAAAAAAGCAGGTCTACTTAATTCCCTGCTCGTAACTGGTCTTTGTGGTTGAGTTCCTTATGCTTCCTTACAGTACTTAAGAATATTACAAAAGGTCACAGCAGAGAAGAAGCCATTTTGGCCTATTCATCTCATCCAAACATTTCATAAAACAGCCGGTCATTAACTTTTAATGACAAAAACACACCCAAGATAAAAAAAAATCTTCCTGTTCTCAGTTTTAATTGCTCGTCTCCATAATCCCCACTCGTGTCATCTTGTTGCACATCTTAGTCTGAAGTCAATGGCTTTGAGTTTTCTGAATACTTGGATCAGTTTCCCTCATAGTCTCTGTTCAAGACTAAAAAGATTCAGTTCTTTTAGACCATCAGTGTACTTCCTTTCTTCCAGGTCAGTCCCTATTCCAGCAATAATCTATATCCTGGCACTTGGAGCTTTACCCAATATTCTATATCAGATCTTGCAAGGGCTTTATAGATTTTTAACATAAAAATTACACTTTTCTAACTATATACAGTATCATTCCTGTTCTTCTATTGCTTTTATTGATTATATTATTCTGAAAGTAATATTTGAAAGTAATATAATGTCAATATAAACACCTAAAAAATAAAGCCCTATTACTGTATGTAAATTTTCAACTCCAGTGTTTCATATCTTATATTTATAATGCTTGTTTTTGCTACCTACTGTACATGTAATACTTGTCACAAATGTCGTCTGCCAGTTGATTACCCAGTATTAAAACTCAAGTCTTTTCTAATTTATTAACATTTAGTATTTTCTAATTTATTTTGGTATCATCTGTGAACTTGATTAGTTTACTAAATATACCAGAATCTCAATTATTTCTACTAAGAAAATAAGTTGTCCTACTGAAAATCTTTATATCACATATTTCATTATACAATAAAAAAATGTTACTGTTATTATTTCTGTCCTATGTGTAAAATATTCAATAGTGAAAAAAAGAGCAACTAAACCTTCGAAGAGAC